TAATAATTGATTGGATCGAGCAATTTAATTACAATCAATTATTGACAATCCCTGCATGGGCGCCTGCATTGAAGGGACACCATGTGCACCACGGCCCACATGCAAGTGCTACAGCGATTGGGTTATATGGACGGTTGAAGGAACAAAAAGGATGGTCGATCCTGGGGGGGGAAGGGGGAAATTCCCTCCTCCCAGTTTTTTTTACAGATTTACGTCCCTGGTATCTACTGAGTGCTGACATAAATCGAGCATTCGTGAAAGGCTGCGTGTTTGCACTTCTTCTAGATCAGGTCTAGAAGGGGTCTTTCTGGGTTGGCCCTGTGGGAAAGGGAGGGACAGGCACCTTTATGCGCACATGTGCAAATGTGGCTGCATGTGCATGAATGGGGCTCTGAGCATGCGCGCTCCACAAATGGGGCTGTGAGCGGCTCACCTCGCGCCGGCATGAAGCTTGCAGCTCAGCTAGCGCCGGCGCAAGAGCAAGGGGTGAGGTGCAAGGCTCGCAGCTCGGCTAGCACCGGTGCAAGGGCAAGGCGCAAGGCTTGCAACTAGACTAATGCCTGCAAGAGGCCCACAGCTCAGCTAGTGCTGGCACAAGGGCAGGGGGTCAGGCGCAAGGCTCGCAGCTCAGCTAGCACCGGTTAGAGGCTCACAGCTCAACTAGCATCGGCAAGAGGCTCACGGCTCAGTACCAGTGCGAAGCTCACAACTCGGCTAGCCCCGGCACAAGGGCAGGGGGTGAGCGTGCATATGCACACATGTACTGGCCAGCCACTCACGTGGCCTGCGGCCCAGTGGCCAAGAGGCCACAGCCCACATCGTTCTGTTCGAAATAACGGCAACAAATTATGCATTTACACTATAATTTTGAAACTTCTAAACCCAAGGTTTTGTACCCCCTGGAATATCGTCTCGCACCCCCAAAGGATGCGAGCACCCCTAGTTGGGAACCTCTGACCTAGAGAATATGGCAGCAGAAATCAGTGTTAAGAACAACATACTCCAGAAATTATGTGGAGCTGAATGAGGAGGTTCAGCTGCCACCCTCAGGTCATCAGCACTAGGGTTGGTCTACTCCATAGCAGAATACTGTGCCCCTATATGGCTCAATAGCTGCCATACTAGTTAGGTAGATGCCATACTGAGCAATATCATGAGGATTATATGTGGATGTATTAAAACTACTCCAACTTGCTGGCTTCCTGTTCTGAGTCATATAGCACTGCCAGCTTTACAAAGGCAAGATGCACTAGTGAGAGAATACAGAAAAATTATGAACATCTCACTCTTACTGGCGCATGCTGACCTTCCTCATTTATCAACTGGAAGACTCTAATCCAGGAAATCCCCAGTAACACTTGCAGAACATCTACCCAACAGGTTTAACATCGATTCCCAATGGAAAGCCAAATGGGTTGCTGAATGTCCAGATTTAGGAAGTTATATAAATGACCCCACAAAAACAGTGCCAGTCTTTGAACTACTATGTCAGCAATGGACAGCCCTGAATACGATTCACATCTCATATGCCATCTGCATAGTATGCTCCCCTCGGTGTAACTGGGGTCCCATGTCAAACTGGATCACATCCTGACCGGCTGTAAGTTGAGGGCATATACCAGTCCAGTATCTGATTTTTTTAATGTAAACGATGCTGCGCTTCAATGGTTAAATGGCCTAGACCAGGGGTCGGCAACCCACGGCTCCAGAGCCACATGCAGCTCTTTCATCCCTCTGCTGTGGCTCCCAGTCCTCCGCCACCGGGGAAAAAAAAGTTCAATCAATTTCAACTTCTCACGGGAAAAAAAGATCTCGCGAAATTGGAATTGATTGATTGAACTTTTTTTTTAGCTCCACAAACAAAAGAAGTTTGTGGGCAGTCCCACAAACCTGCTCCGTCTCCGACCTGGGCCAGTTCACCCCTCCTTAGGCAACCTGGTGGCCCTCAGCTCCCCGGGATCACCATATTGATGCTGAACTTAGTGCGGACACCCGATCGGCATAGCCCACTGCAGCCCAGAACTCATGAGCTCAAGCGATCCGGAGTAGCTGGATTACAGGCTTGCGCCACCGCGCTCGGCTACAAACAAAAGAAGTTTCTGGGCAGTCTCACAAACAAAAGTTTGTGGGACTGCCCGCAAACTTCTTTTTGTGAGACTGCACACAGCGGCAGAGGAAGTGATGGAGGACTGGAAAGAAGGTGCCGCGTGGGTCTGATTGAGAGTGCGGGGGGTGTTCTGCCAAGCATCTTGTATGGAGCTGGAGAAACAGGCTGGGTGGGGGGAGCTGCCAATGCCGCTGCCATGAGGCTTGGCAGATCCCCCCCGAGCAGTCATGATCCCCACAGCCAGCCATGATTGCCCGACCTATCCCTCGCCTGGCCGGCCAGCTGGCACATAGCCTCACCGCTCTTCTCCTCATTCTCCTCCCCACTCTGCTCCATCCGAGTTGAAGAAAGCGGAGGCACAGCAGTGGGATTGCTCTCAGTAAGGTGAGTGCACAAGAGCAAGCAGTTCACCCGGCTCTTATTGTTTCAGAGCAATCCCGCTGCTGTGCCTCTGCTTTCAACTCAGATAGAGCCAAGGAGTTGCTGATGGCCTCTGGAGTGGGGAGGATGAGCTTTGCTATTGGGCCATGCCTGGGCTAAGCCCTGCTGCTACCTCCTAAACTACACCTTTGCCGCTGGAGAAATCCGTGATGGCAGAGCGCTCCGCTCGGGGGAGGTAGGGGAAAAAGCTGTGGCAGGGTGCTCTGCGTGGGGGAGGTAGGGGGGGAAAAGCAGCAGCGGCAGGGCACTCAGCATGGGGGGGTAGGAGGGAAAAGCGGCGGCAGGGTGCTCTGCACGGAGGAGGTAGGGAGAAAATCCATGGCGGCAGGGCGCTCCGCGCGGGGGAGGTAGGGGGAGAAAATAGCAGCAGTAGGGCGTTCTGCACGAGGGAGATAGGGAAAAGTGACGGTGTTCCATGCAGGGGAGGTACGAGGAGAAAGCGACAGCAGGGTGCTCCGCGCAGGGGAGGTAGGGGGAGAAGCAGCAGCAGCAGGGTGCTCAGCGCAGGGGAGGTAGGGAAAAGCGGCAGCAGGGCGCTGAGCGTGGGGAAGGTAGGGAAAAGTGGCGGCAGGGCGCTCTGCGTGGGGGAGGTAGGGGGAGAAAGCAACAGCAGGTCGCTCCGCGTGTGAGGGGTAAGCAGCAGCAGCGGTGGAGTGCTGGGAGGGGGAAGCAGCAGGGTTTTCTGGCTCCCGGTATTTTCTGTGGGAAACGGGTCCAAATGCCTCTTTGAGTGTTTAAGGTTGCCGACCCCTGCCTAGACATTGGTATTTGAATATAGATCTTTTTAACATTTATTGTACTGTATTTTACTAATCTAGGTAAAATATTAATATATATTGTTAGTCTATGTGTGATATGCCATATGCTAAATAAATAAATAAATGCCTTCAACAATGTCAGAGCTGAAGTATTAGAAATATCTTTAAAACTTCAGAGAGATGTTCAGAAATGTATCTGGTTTGAAAGTAGCTCATGTTAAATTGTGTGGCACAGTGAAACAACAGGAGTTGACCACTGGAAGTGTTTCATGATATTTTGTATTATGTCATAAACTATTTTATGGTAGTTTTTATATCCTAAAATATTTTGTAAAATTTGCCAAATTTCAATTTTGTGGGTCATGGGTCCTGGATTTTGGACACATTCTGTAAGTTAGCCCATTTGAGGTAACTTAGTTCAAAAATTATTGCCCTATCGTGTACTGTTTCACCTAGTTAAAGGTTATAGGAACTAGAGTTTTAGTATATAGATAGATTTGTTAAAGCAGGGATTCCAATCCCCAGTCCGTGGACTGGCACCAGGCTGTGGTGTTCCACAGTCCAGCTATTTAATGCTAGCCTTCATTCTATTTCATATCAAATAGAGTTGTAGTTGTTGGTTTCACTTCAAAAATTGGATCTTTTAAAGATCTAAATTGATAGGTATCTTTGAGGATCTAAGGCCGTAGTGGCGAATCTATGGCACGTGTGCCACAGGTGGCACGCAGAGCCCTCTCTGTGGGCATGCACACCATCACCCCAGTCCTAGGCCTTCAGCTGGGTTTTATAAAACCATTTCGCTTTAGACCTTCGCCGCTGTGTGCAAAAAAAAAAGGTTTAATCAATCAATTTCAACTTCTCGCGGTGAAAAATAGATCTCGCAAAGTTGGAATTGATTGAACTTTTTAGACCCACCCAGTCTGCCATTACCACCGCAGCCACACCCACCCAATGGGCAATGCCCACCCGGTACTCGACGATACATAAGTGGGTTTTGGGTTGCAGTTTGGGCACTCGGTCTCTAAAAGGTTTGCCATCACTGATCTAAGCAAATCCCCCTCTCTCTTTTCAAATTTGGATTATTCCACAACAATCTCTTGGATATGATTTTGGAAATAACAAAAACACTAATATGTCTAATATGTCTAGCATCAGTTGTAAATCTCAACAGTTTTCATAAGATCTTTAAGCTTTAAAACAAAGTTTTATTTAGATTTTTGCATTGGTTAAGTGATTACAATGGCATTCTTAAAATGAAATATATTAAATGCTTGTAAACATTTTTTGAATGTGAATATAAATTCATTATTTTAAGCCATTTTGTGATTTGTATCTGCTAATTTGTAATAGTTTACAGATCTAAACATAAAAAGTGAGTTATCAGGTAGAAGAGGTCGCATTTATTGGTCTTTTCTTAGATAAATAAATTTCTAATATTTGGACTGTATAAAGAACAAGCTGTAAGGCTAATATGGCTGCCTTTTCAGTGCTCAAACATGAATAGAAGCTAGTGTTGCTTGATTTAGCTTGGACTTCCTTAAACCAGTTTATTCTGCTTTACTTCACGCTTAGTCACCTTCAGGCACAGCAGACTTCATAGATTAAGTCTGCTGTTCCACCTTTAAGCACTCCTAGATTGTAGTCAGTAGCAACCAGCCTGCAATAATTTCCCTTTGATGACATCATCAATCCTGGAAGAACGGAGTTGCTGCAATAAGCCACACACAATCCAAATCCTAATTGAATATGGCAGCTTCCCAGTCTGCTGCTGTTCTATAAGAAACGCTGTGGCTGTTGTGCTCTTAAAACCCCTTTTGTCAAGCTCATGGAAGTATCTTCTGATCCTTATTTACCATACGATGGGGGAGGAGACGGCATTCCATTAAGAGAGTTGCATAAAAGAGGTATAGCAAATTCGTGTTGTGATTTAGTTTCTTTTACCTTTTTGTCATATGACCAGTTGCTTTCAGAGTGAGAGAGGAGGTTTTTGTTTTTGTTTCTTTTAAACGCTGCATTTTGGCAAGCCTCTCTGATTTGTTTCATAGTAGATATACCTATATGAGTTGTGTTGCCTTGCTGGCAAGTCATTTTTTTTTCTTAAAATTAGCTAATTTGTTTCAAATTATCAGCAAGCGACTCCATCTTTGGTATTTGGTTTTCTTTTTTAAAAAAAATAGAAGACTCAAGCTTTGATGTAAATTGTGTAATAATATAAGTCCTTAGTAATGGCTGCCATAACTAGATGACCAGCATTAATCAAGGAAGCTATTTTGACTCCTCAGTGAAAGAGAATGCTGTTTGTACTAGGCGTTGAAGTCTCTACGTGCTATATGGCATTAACTCCTTCATGGCATTCTGAATGCTCAGTGAACTATGAATTTACTTTATGATTTAAAACAAGTTCTTTATTGTAAAAACAAAATGGGTTATATTGGTTTTTATTTGCAATCTCAGGAAGTTTTGATTTCAATGTTATTTTTTTACTGATAAGCCATTTGGAAATTGTATGCTGTAAAATATTTTTATGCTTTTTCTTATGTCAGGTGCTTTGAAGCATTGTTAGAGAATGAGCAGTTTTCAGGTTAGGGGAGGAGAGGTGTAATTGGAACTGATTCAATTCATAGGGAGTCTGTCTTTCAAACAGTAGTTCAAATAGACATGTATTTTTGTGGTTAATATGGCTGTTACAATCTAAAGGAGTGATTGTGACATGGAGTGATTATGCAAAACACATAAATACGATAAGTAGTTTTTAAAAAAAAATATAACACTATTTCTTCTTCCAGTTTCAGCATTTATCGTGGAAGCTGTTGTCTTAGCTTAAATCTATGAGCTAGAGGAAAAAGAATTAGTAAAGTACCACTAGTGAAGCTTTCTATTTTATTTCTATAATATTGGGCTTCTTTGAAACTTTCTCTTGTAAGTGCTTGCTTTTCGACACCCCTGTATAAACTAAATTAACTAAAATAAAATCTTACTGACATTTATTTGAAAGATGTCTGTTTTTTTTTCTGATAAATTTATTCATACATATAATGAATAAAATGTTCAAGTAGGATTAGGGTGTGCCTGGACTAAATCTTCCCTTAGTCCTGGAAACTTAATGGGTGACTTTGGGACAGTCTCTCAGCTCAATCTAGCCGGTGGGATTATTGTTGAGATAAATTAGGTGTGTCCAACTCACAGCTCATAGGCCGCATTTGGTCCTGGACAGCTAGTAATGCAGCCCACAAATTGTAAACTTCTAATATTATTTATACATACATACGTACATACATACATACATACATACATACATACACGTATATATATTGACAAAATTAAAAGAAAAGCGAACACCAGGATAAAAGTAAACAAGACTGTTTAATGTAAACAAGCTTGTAGATAAAAAGTCACTAAGCTTTTGTCGGCCAAACTGCCAACGTCGTCAGAGTTGGAGTAAAAGGAGATCTGGGAGCTGGCTTATATAGCCACTTGCCTCTGCGCCCGGCTTCTCGAGCGCGTCATCGGCCCATTGATTGTGCTCGTCCATAATCCACTGAGTTGCTCTACACCTGGCAACCTGCCCGTGGCCCCGATGGTTGTCTTCCGATCTTCAATCGCTCTTCTGGTGCGCGTACAGGCGCCCGGGGGTGGCTGTCCAGCCGTCTCTGCACCTTGTCTCCCTCCCCTCCCATTTTGGAGCAATCTCGGTTGTTGTTTCTCAAGCTGCGATTCGGGCACTCTATCGGGCCGTAATCTTTTAATTTTGTCAATATGATGCCCAGGATTCGCATTTTTAGTATTATAAAGGATACGTATATATATATGTGTATGTATACATACATACATACATGCACACACACACACACACACACACATATACTATATTACATATTTTATATTTTATATGTGGCTAAGACAACTCCTCTTCACATAGAGTGGTTTAGGCGAGCCAAAGGGTTGGCTATGCTTGGGATAAATGAATGAAGATATAATCCACCTTGAACTCCAGGAGAATATACTATAAAGCTAAAGAAATACTTAACTGTTACACAATTTAATTAGGCCAAGAATTTACTTTGGTTAGTATTTAGTACAATTCTTTCAGCAATTGTCATTTTACACAATCCTGTCAATATTTCTTTTTGAAATCAAAAGCCGAGAAGTCTTAAAATTGAATTATTGCTAAAACAATTATACTGTATTACAGTTTTCAAAAGCTTGTTTGGGCTTGTGGCAGAGCTTATTAGCTGATTTGGTCTGTCTATTTCTCTTTTAAAAATTGATGATTACCTGATAATCTTTAAATTATTTTACAGCCATCTTCAGTTAAAGTAAGCTTCCAGTGCTTTGGATTAAGTCACAAGTAAACTTAATTAGGTTTTTTGAGGAGAACAATAAATATAGAGTTTGCTTATCCATGGATATTTAGGGGCAGAATTTTTACAATTTCTGTGATTAGGGTGTTTAGTATATTTAATAATAAAAAGTCCTGTGCGTTCTGACATACACTCCTTTCAAGTGTTATGATTGCTAAGAAAGAGTTCTCTGATTTATGTCCTGTACACATCTGTCTGGGAAAATTATATCAGCATTCCCCAACCTTTCTGGGTTGGCAGCCCTGCAGAGGGAAAAGGAAATGGTTTTGTGTGAGGGGCAGGCGTGGCTGTGTGCTTCATTTGTGTGAGCTTGTGCAAGTGGGGCAACACATGCCCGTGCACTCACTGCTGGCGTGCCCCAGTTCCAAATTGACCACGGCCTGATTGTGGGCCAGAGCCCAGGGCTTGAGGAACCCCTGATCTATATGATGTGGAGCAAATTACCATGTATATCAGTGATGGCGAACCTTTTAGAGACCGAGTGCCCAAACTGCAACCCAAAACCCACTTATGCATCGTCGGGTGCTGGGTGGGCGTGGCCCTTTGGGTGGGTGTGACTCATTGGGTGGGCGTGGCTGCGGTGGTAACAGCAGACTGGGTGGGACTAAAAAGTTCAATCAATCAATTCCAACTTTGTACCATCTTTTTTTTCCCACGAGAAGTTTAAATTGACTGATTGATTGAACCTTTTTTTTTTTTGTACATGGCGGCAGAGGCCTAAAGTGAAAAGGTTTTATAAAACCCAGCTGAAGGCCTAGGACTGGGGCGACGGTGCACGTGCCCACAGAGAGGGCTCTGAGTGCCGCCTCTGGCACCCATGCCATAGGTTCGCCACCACTGATGTAGATGCTTCCAACTTTTTTTTCAGCTTACTGTTGAAGATTTATATTTTAACTTTGTCATAAATTTAAAATAGAATAGTAAATGATGACTTTGTTCTAAACGTTAGACTGTTTATTCCTTTCCTTTCATATTTATTTAAAACTGAACAGTAGTTATCTTTTATGTGACATATCAGGTTGAATTCTTATATAACCAGACAAAGTAAACTTGTATTGAGCTACAACTAAAAAAATTCATGTGACTCATATGGCATTTAAACTGAAGGAAAGGAGTGCTGCTGATGCTTTGTTCTACATATATTTTGTGTTTTATTAACACAGTGTATGATAGATGATTTGATTTTGATGTAAATTTTCAATCTGTGAGCATGTATGTTTGATCTGAGTTTGTGAATTATTGGAGATGTAATCATGTTTTGTTTGGTTGGAGATTCTTCTGTAAGAATGTAAGGAGAACCCATCAGCCAAAGCCCATTTGACACCAGGATTTTGTTTCTCACCATGACCTATAAATTCTGGGGGCTATGCAATAAAAGAAATGGAGATATATTCTTCTCTTGTTGTTATCCTCTGCCGTTGGTATTTGAAGACATGCTGCCATATTCCAAGATGCTACTGAGTCTAATTCATTGATGGCAAATCTAAGATATACATGTCAAAGGTGAGATACTACATTTTGTGTAACACGCCAGCATCCACCAACATCTGAAAACTGCTGGAAAGCACACTTCATTCTTGAATGATTTTTGAAAGCTGCAGAGGCCATGCAAGAATAGGGAGTGCTTTTGAATGACCTCTGGAGCCTCTGAAAATTATGTGAGAATCGAGTGTGCTTTCAAGAAGTTTTCAGAGGCTGCAGAAGAGCATTCTCTGAAGCCACTTTAAGAACAAAAGTTCTGTGTGACTCGAAGTTGCCATTGGTAGGCTATAAGGGCCTGTCAATAGAAAGAGAATACTGCCTGAAGAAAGTGGCATGCAGTATATCCGGGAGATCACACACGATTGGATGGTATTTTTTAAAAAAATAAATGAAAAATTGCCTCTTTTTTTTCTGAGGGAGGTGACACATCAGCAGGATCAAATTAGGCATTTATTTTTTTTCACATGCTGAGCCAAAAGATTCGCCATCACTGGTCTAACCCTTTGGAAAACTACAGAGTAATAGGTCTAGTTTTCTTTTCCAGCCTTTCAGGTTAGTAGTTAGCATCATGCCTTGCAGTATTGAATTCTACAAGTTAAGTATGTATTTTGTGAAGAATTTTTTCTTACTTTGTGTTTGAAATCTCCAAGCATCTTAAATGGATGAACCTTGATCCTAGTGTTTTGAAAGAGGGAGAAAAATTCCGATTAGTCAAAATAAGGTTGTAACGCTCACCAGCTGAACAATATAACCATGAAATCTTAAAACAGTTTTCTTTCCTATCAAACGGACAATGGAGCTATTGATTCCATATCTTTTTTTAAATTCAGGTTAAATGTTGCAAAAAATACCACAATCAATTATTAAATATAAATGCTCTGTTGAATATTTGATACTAGGCTACACAGACTTCCTTTTGTTCTTTTTCTTACATTGTAATATATTTCAAAAATTGTTCTTTCCTTCTGACATTCTCTAACTTTAAAATATAATTGTGCATAACACAAAAAATAAAATTAAAGATTATTTGTTCATTAACAAAAACCTGTGCAGCTCTTATC